CTACCATCTTCAAAATAAATATTTAAGTGAGGTTAATTTCCCTAGACTGACAGAGGATCAGAAACATGAAATTAATGGGATAATTACTAAGGAGGAAATTGCGTCAGCAATTCAACAATTGAAATCAGGGAAAGCACCGGGTACGGATGGGTTAACAGCTGTTTATTATAAAGCTTTAATGAAGGAGATGATTCAACCATTAGGTGATCTTTTTAATGGTATTTTACAGGGTTCAGAGATCCCTCCTTCATGGTGTAGTGCTTTTATATCATTGATTCCAAAGGAGGATCAAGATCTTACTTTACCAAAGAATTATAGGCCCATATCTCTTTTAAATGTGGATTATAAGATATTTGTTAAAATTTTGGTATAAGGGTTGTGCCTTATCTTGTGCATAAAGATCAATCTGGGTTTATAACTGGAAGGTATATGAAAAATAATGTTAGACAAATCATTAATGTATTAGAATATTTAGATAAGAACAACCAAGTCTCTGCAGGGCTGATATTTTTAGATGCTGAAAAAGCATTTGATCAATTGAATTGGCATTTTATGTTAAGAGTAATGGAAGAGATGAATTTTGGTGAAAATATATTACAAGCTCTTACGGTAATATATCAAAAACAAACGGCGCAACTTATTGTTAATGGAGGTTTGTCAGAGGTTTTTACAATAGAGAAAGGTACTAGGCAGGGGTGTCCATTATCACCACTGTTGTTTGTTTTAACATTGGAAATATTGTTGATTAAAATTCGAGAGTCGCAGGAAATTAAAGGAATAGAAGTTAACAAAAAAGAATATAAGTTAAGAGCCTTTGCGGATGACTTGGTTGTTACTTTGTTGCAACCTGTTCATTCTGCAGTAAAACTATTACAGTTGATTTATTATTATGGTTTGGTCTCGGGTTTCAAGATTAATGTTAATAAGACTAAAATTCTACCTAAAAATATGACTAGTCAGGAGAAGCAGACCTTGGCTATCTCGACGGGTTTTGAAATTGTTAATAAGGTAAAATATTTGGGGGTGATGTTATCTGTTTCTAATGCAAAATTATTTAAAAATAATTATGAAAAGTTGTGGGTTAGGGTACAGAATGATTTGAAGAATTGGGAGAAGTTGCAATTATCCCTCATGGGAAGAATTGCAGTGATAAAAATGAATATTCTACCCAAGTTTCTCTTTCTGTTTCAGATGCTACCGATTTTGAAGAATGAGATTAATTTAAGTGAATGGCAGAAAGGCCTTAATAAATTTATTTGGGCAGGGAAAAAGCCAAGGGTTAAGTTTAAAATTATGCAAGATTTTCGTGAGAGGGGTGGACTCAAGGTACCGAATTTGAAATTATATTATGATGCGGTGGTTTTAACACTAATTAGTGATTGGGTAAATTTGACAAATCCTGAGATACTCCATCTAGAGGGATGGGATTTACTTTTTGGATGGCATGCCTATATAATATTTAATAAAAAGATCGACTGGGTTTTTAAATCTCATATTTTAAGAATTTCTTTACTTAGGACTTGGAGAAAATATTATAAAAGTGATTTTAAAGTACCATTATGGGCTATACCTTGGCATGCGATAGAAGGAATAAAAAGAGGGGTTAAAATGGACATGGTGTCTTATAGACAGTTACTTAGGTGGGATGGACAAAACTGGAAGTTAAAATCACGGGAAGAGTTAACACAAGAAAATATTATTTATTCTTGGTTCCAATACAGGCAATTAGCAGATAGATGGAAGGTGGATTGTAAGGTGGGTTTTCTTAGAGAAGATGAAAATTTTATTAAGCAAGTGAAGGATCAAAGACAAACCCACATTAAGAGAATTTATGGGGTTTTAGTTGAATTAGATTCAGAAACGGAACTAATTAAAGATTGTATGATCAGATGGGCGCAGAATTTTGGTGAGCCAGTTCCATTGGACACCTGGGAAACTATTTGGGTTAGAAATGTCAAATTTACACAAGCACAGAATTTAAGGGAGAATTTTTATAAAATGTTCTATAGATGGCACCTTGATCCACAAAAAATGTCTTTTATGTACCCTGACCTACTACCTAAATGTTGGAGATGTGGGTGTATGGATGCTACTTATTACCATATTTGGTGGTCATGCAGAGAGATAAAAGCATTTTGGATTAAGATATGGTGGAATATCCAGAGAATTTTTAAAAGGAGGGTAAAATTTACTCCGCAATTATTTTTGTTGGGTATAGTTACTGATTGTGATACAAAGGAGGTTATATTGATGTTAAATTTGATTACAGCCGCGAGGCTGTTAGTTGGACAATATTGGAAGAAGGAATCTTCGCCTACACTGCAGGAATGGTTTTTTAAAGTGTCTAATTTGGCGGAAATGGCAAAGATTTCGGCTTTTTTAAAGCAACAAACGCAAGAGAAATTTCTTGCTGTTTGGGATAAATGGATAAAATTTATACAGTTTAAAATGGATATTAAAAAATATTATATAGCTTTTTCTTAATTTTTATTCATATATATATATATATATATATATATATATATATATATATATATATAATTTTTCTAATTGTTTTTTTAATTAAGCCTATATTCTGCTCTGGGAAGCTCGGGGGGGGGAAGGGTGGGTGCTTGGGGGAGGTTGGGGAAGGGAGGGTTTCTTGTGTAATGTTTAGTTTTTTCTTTGTATATGTTTTTTGTCTTTGTATGGTTTTGTTTTTTTCCTTTTTTGTAAAATTTATAAAACTTTTAATAAAATAATAATAATAATAATAATAATAATAATAAAGTTGGAAGGGACCTTGTAGGTCATCTAGTCCAACCCCCTGCTCGGGCAGGAAACCCTACACCATTTCAGACAAATGGCTGTCCTTTTCTTAAACACTTCCAGTGTTGGAGCATTCACTGCTTCTGGAGGCAGGTTGTTCCATTGGTTAATTGTTCTGTCAGGAAGTTTCTCCTTAGTTCTAGGTTGCTTCTCTCGATTAGTTTCCATCCGTTGCTTCTTGTCCTGCCCTCAGGCGCTTTGGAGAATAGTTTGACTCCCTCTTCTTTGTGGCAGCCCCTGAGATATTGGGCTATCATGTCCTCCCTCGTCCTTCATTAAACTAGACATACCCAATTCCAGCAACTGTTCCTCATGTGTTTTAGTCTCCAGTCTCCTAATCATCTTTGTTGCTCTTCTCTGTACTCTTTTTAGAGTTTCAGCATCTTTTTTACATTGTGGTGACCAAAACTGGATGCAGTATCCCAAGTGTGGCCTTACCAAGGCATTGTAAAATGGTATTAATACTTCACGTGATCTTGATTCTATCCCTCTATTAATGCAGCCCAGCATCGAGTTGGCTTTTTTGGCAGCTGCAGCAACCTGCTGGCTCATATTTAACTGATTGTCCACTAGGACTCCGAGATCTCTCTCACAGTTACTACTATTAAGTAAGGCACCCCCTAAACTATACCTGTACATTTGGTTCCCCTTGCCCAAATGCAGAACCTTACTTTTTTCACCATTGAATTTCATTTTGTTAGATAGTGCCCACTGTTCAAGTCTGTCCAGATCCTCCTGTATCTTAAGCCTATCTTCTGGAATGTTGGCTATTCCTGCCAGCTTGGTGTCATCCGCAAATTTGATGAGTTTCCCATCTATCCCCTCGTCCAAATCGTTGATGAAGATGTTGAAGAGCACTGGGCCTAGAACAGAACTCTCAGGCACCCCACTACACACTTCCCTCCATGTAGATGCAAAGTTCCACTGAGGACCACACGCTGAGTGCAGCCGGTCAGCCAGCTACGAATCCATCTGGTGGTGATGCTGTCTAACCCACATTTTTCTATCTTATCGAGTAGTAGGTTGTGATCTACTTTATCAAATGCCTTACTGAAGTCCAAGTAAATTATATCCACAGCATTCCTCTGATCCACTAAATTTTGTCACTTGGTCAAAGAATGCAATAAGGTTTGTCTGGCATGATTGTTTTTGAGAAACCCATGTTGGCTTTTAGTAGTGATTTTGTTTGCCTCTAGGTGTTCACTGATTTGTTGTTTGATTATCTTTCCCAGAATCTTCCGAGGTATTGAGGTCAGGCTAATAGGTCTGTAATTTCCTGGATCCATTTTTTTTCCCTTTTCTGAAGGTGGGAACTTCATCAGCTCTTTTCCAGTCCTCTAGTAGTTCCCCAGTGTTCCAAGATCTTTGAAAAATATAGTTCAGTGGTTCTGTGTAAAGATACTTCTAATCATTTTTGGAAATGTGAAAAACATGAAGAGACATTTTACCATGCATGGTGGAGTTGTGAAAAAGTAAAAATATATTGGACACAAATACATTTAGTGATGCAGAATTTTAGGAACCAGACCATTTCTTATTAGAACTTATTAGACAATCAACTGAAAAGGCTCATGGAGAACTGGTTTTATCCATGGTAAGTGAGGTGAGGCAACTATATGCACAAAGATGGAAGACCACAGAAATACCAATAATGGAAGAATGGATTATGAAGATGGCTGTGTTTGCAGAGATGGCTACATTGATTTGTTTTATTATGGAAGGGACTACAACTACTTTTAGAAACACTGGAAACCCTTTATAGACACTTTGCCAAAAATGGACAAAAATGAACTACTGATTTCAGGATTGATTAAAAAGGTTTGTTTATGGGAAGAAGGGAGCTTTGATATGTAATGTGAGAGTGGAGATGCTGTAATTGCTGCAAAGATGATCAGAAGTCAGATATTTTTCTTGGGGTTTTTGCCATTGATTTTTTCTTTTACCCTATTATAATCTTTTTCCCTATTTCGTCTTTTATGTTTCTGTAGCTTTTAAAATCTTTATAACATCTTTTAATAAAAATTGTTCATTAAAAATTAACTGTTAATGAAATCCATGCTATTTCAACAAAGGAATACTATAAAATATTTGATTTGTCCAGATTTATGTAAAGAGGAAATGCTATCTTTGCATTGATTTGACAATGATACCACTGCCAATGCCATTATCAAGGATAAATGCAATACTCCATCTTCACATGATACCTTTTTATTACAATATCAAAAAAGTAGGATGGGGGAGGTATGCAAGTTTTCAGGATCAACAAGGTCCTTTTTTAATATTTTCAGGAATGTGCCATCAATACTATATTTAAAACCATAAGGAGGTTAAAAGAAACACAAAAGAAACGCATTTTCTTCATATAACATTCTGTGTGTCTTACTACCAATCACACCACCTTCTGTAAACCCTGATTTTTTTTCTGTTATGTAAATATATATATATATATATATATTATGTATGTATGTATGTATGTGCTGGAAGCCCCACCCACCCATAATTAGCTATGTTTATTAAACTTCTGTATTAGTGTCAATTGGCTACAGATACATATTACTTTAAGAATTAAATACATAACTGTTTAATTCAAACAAGCAGAAGGGCAAGAAGAAAAAGCATTATGTGGATGGCACATCTGGTTGTAGATACCAAAACATTCAACCATTACAATTCAATGATTCTCTAAGTAATCAACTTTCAATGAAACATCTTGGTTGAAATTACATGTCAAAATATGCTAAATAGTTTTCTTTACTACAATCATACCGTAGTAGTTTAAGAAGAACTATTACAAAATGCTTTTAGTTAGTGTACTCTTCACAAAGAGCCAAAAAGCTATGTAACAGTTGTAGTAGAGTTTGGGAAGAGTGCTTCTAGAAACTAGGAATTTTAGAAATATATTACTTGGTAAGCAGAACAGCTACAGAACTCACAGCCACAACCGTTATGTCTACTATTATTTCACTTAGTTAGCTGCAGGTTCAGCACATTCAACTGTGCCCAGTCTCTCAATGATGATTTCTGCCATCAGGAGCCGTCTGATAACACTGTTTCTCACTTGAGAACACCCCTCCTTTATCTGGATTAACTCTATAAACATACATAGAAGAGTTAAGAGCCCAGGAAATAAAACGAGTGCTTACAATGGCACCTAAGTGAAAATTTCAACCTGAGGGGATTCAAAACAATTTAATTTTTAAAAAGACTAATAGGCAAAATTGGGGGTAGAGAAAAGCAAGGAGGAACAGAGAATATAACCAACAGAGCAAATACTCAGAAAGAGACCATTCACTGACAGTTGTGTCTGGTGCAGAGTGCCCTGCTCTATAAAAGTGATTGAGGACCTAAGGCTTTTAAGTTACAAAAGACCCCAGCAGGCCTAGTCCATCTTCAATGTCACTGGAGTGCTTTGACAAGATATAACTTTTCCCCGTGCTCACTGGTGAAGATAGGAGCCTTTTTGTAGTGTTCCACCAACTCATCCATAGTATTAAATCGACGCTGCCCAATGCAATAGACACTGTCCACCAGCTGCACCTTGAAATGTTTGTTCTTCCCTGAAGCCTTTAGAGATACTGAAAAGTCACTGGGCTGCAAGAGAAAGGAAAGACAAATGTTTAGACAGTGCACAACATGGGATTTAAAGTCGGTTTTAAGAGAAATTATCTGTACTCTGTCTCCACATACACTATGGATTAAGTATTTTCAAATGTGTATTACTACCATCAATGGCAGAGTGGCAAATCCAATGAAAGTATCTTAGTAACATCATATATTAATATAAGTCAAATAATTTATTCAGAATATTACTGATTTAAGCCCAAGGTCTCCAACTATCTAGAGAAAAAACTTCTATGCACACTCAATAATCATAAATATTCAAATGCAGAAATAATGTCACTATACTAGCTTTACATTAAATTCCATGACCACAAGAGGGCCTTTCTTATTTTTTGTAAAAAGTGCCTAACACAAGTTTTAACAATTCAACATTTAACATGGCCCAAGATGTGCATTACTGGTTTAAAATATATATTTTAAACTCTGCTATTCTTAGCTCATTATACAAGAACTAAGTTTTCAAACAATGAACTTATTTTTGCTATTTGCAAAAGGGGGGGGGGAATCACTCAGCAAAGATCCCTGAGCACACAGAATTTCCTTCACCTTGTTTCATTCAGCCTCTCACTGCGGTGATTTTCTACTGACAATAGTTTGCTTGTTTCACTTTAAAATAATTTGCTTCAAAAATATTTTTTTCATTTCCAATTTTGTATAGTGAAAGACTAATCTCCTTTTGGCTATTTACCTAGATCAGTGGTTCTCAACCTTCCTAATGCTGCGACCCTTTAATACAGTTCCTCATGTTGTGGTGACCCCCAACCCCCCATCCAGTTGGCCGGGGGATATCAAAAACTTGACCAAAAAAAGAGGAAAAAATGGGAAAGTATATTTATAACAATTCGCTTAGTGACTGTTAGAAGTTACAACAGCACTGAAAAAGCGAATTATGATCATTTTTCACACTTATGATTGTTGCAGTATACCCAGGGTCATGTGATTTACATTCGGATGCTTGACAACTGATTCATACTTACAACATTCACAGTGTCCCAGGGTCACGTGATCAATGGCCAGGGGCATGGCCAGCTGATCACTCAGGTTGCAGAGTGCCTGTGGGGGGGGGAATCTGTGGGTCTCTGGGATGGGACTCGGGTGGGTGCCTTCCTTCCCCTTCTCCTTTCCTTCCTTCTTTTCTTCCTTTCCTTCACTTCCCTTAGTCTCTTCCTCCTTCCCTCCCTCTCTCATTGTCCCTTCCTTTCCTTCACCTCCTTCTTAGTCTCTTCCTCCTTCCCACCCTCCCATTGTCTCTTCCTTCCTTCCTTCTTTCCTTTCCTTCCCCTTCCTTAGTCTCTTCCTCCTTCCCTCCCTCTCTCCCATTGTCCCTTCCTTCCTTCCTTTCCTTCACCTCCTACTTAGTCTCTTCCTCCTTCCCTCCCTCTCCCATTGTCCCTTCCTTCCTTCCTTCCTTCCTTCCTTCCTTCCTTCCTTCCTTCCTTCCCTTTCCTTCCCCTCCGTCTCTTCCTCCTTCCCTCTGTCTCCCCTTGTCCCTTCCTTCCTTCCCTTCACCTCCTGCTTAGTCTCTTCCTCCTTTCCTCCCTCTCCCATTGTCCCTTCCTTCCTTTCCTTCCCCTCCCTTAGTCTCTTCCTCCTTCCCTCCCTCTCTCTCATTGTCCCTTCCTTCCTTCCTTCCTTTCCTTCACCTCCTTCTTATTCTCTTCCTCCTTTCCTCCCTGTCTCCCATTGTCCCTTCCTTCCTTCCTTTCCTTCACCTCCCTTGGTGTCTTCCTCCTTCCCTCCCTCTTTCCCATTGTCCCTTCATTCTTTCCTTCCTTTCCTTCCTCTCCCTTAGTCTTCCTCCTTCCCTCCCTCTCTCCCATTGTTCCTTCCTTCCTTCCTTCCTTCCTTCCTTCCTTCCTTCCTTCCTTCCTTCCCTCCCTCCCTTTGTTCCTTCCTTCCTTCCCTCTCTCATTGTTCTTTACTTCCCTCCCTCTTCGTCCCTTCCTTCCTCCCCTCCCTCCCGTGCCCAGGAAGGGACAAGGGGAGGGGGATAGGCTGCCAGTGTGGCTGGGGGCTTTGCTGCCAGCAAACCTGCCTGTGCACAGGCAGAGACAGAGGAGAGCTCTGCCCAGCTCACTTGCTCAGCTTCACTGAAAGACAGAAGTTAGCAGAAGCTCCAGGATCAGCGCCGGGCTACAGCTGATTCGCGCTTCTGTTAAATTAGCATGTTTTCTAGCAAAGCTCAAGCAAGTTTGCTGGGCAGGAGCCAAGGAGAGCAGCTACAACTGCAGAAGTTCGGATCAGCTGTAGAGGCTCGCCCTGATCCTGGACAAGAGGGAAGGAAGGAAGGATGGAAGGGACAAGGGGAAAAGGGGAGGGAAGGAGGGACAAAGAGGGAGGCGAAAGGAAAGAAGGGACAAGGGGGAAAGGGAAGGAAGGAAGTACAAAGAGGGAGGCGGAAGGAAGGAAGGAAAGAAGGAAGGGACAATGGGAGAGCGAGGGAAGGAGGAAGAGACCAAGAGGGAGGGAAGGAAAGGAAGTTCCAGCCAGCAGAGGCTTGGCAGCCTGGTGCTGAGGAACAGAAGAGGGCAAAGCCAAGGAGAAGAAGGTGGCGGTTTCCTCCCAAAGGGGGCTCCTTTTCTCCACCCCTTCCCTGGGTTTGTGTGGAATTTCTCGTCACCAACGTTGACAGGTGCTCCTTCGAGCCCGCTGCAAGCTTTCTCGCCCCTTTGCTTCTCCCCCCCACTTTCGTGAGGATTGTGGCGCCATTGGAAAGCCAATCGTGCTTTGAAGCTTAGGAGAGGAGGAGGAGTCCCTTCCTCCTTCCCTCCCCCTCTCCCTGTCAAGCCCCGGCAGGCTCAACATGAACGGGCCGAGAAGGAGACGAGGATGGGCGGGGTGGCAAAGGAGACTGGCAGCCGTCACCAGACCTCCCGGCTGACAAGCGCAAGTTCGGGAATCGCCAGTTGACGGGCGCAGGAGTTGGGTGCTGCGGCGGCCTCCCCTTCGCTGACCTGCGTGCACGAGAAGAAGTCAATCCGGTTTCTGCACAATGAGTCTCTGGGGAGGGCGGGGCCTTGCTCTGCGCCTACGCTCTTCATGCGCCCCCTGCAGGGCACATTTGGTAGAGTTCGTGCAGACTGCTGCCAAGCAGCATATTTTCCACAAACAAGTGAGGTGGAGCAGAGTGAGGGGAGGGAGAGAAGGCGGTTGACAACCCCTGTCTAAGACCATCGGAAATATGTGTTTTCCGATGGTCTTAGGCAACCCCTGTGAAAGGCTCGTTCAACCCCCCAAAAGGGTCGCGACCCACAGGTTGAGAACCGCTGACCTAGATCAATGCAGGAGCTAGGCTGCATGTTTAAATAGCAAACTAGCACAAAGGACTGATTTGTAAATTAGATACAAGAGGTCCTCAGCTTACAATCTTATTTCATTCATTCAAGTTACTGTGATAGACAAATGCAGATAATAAACAAAATAAAGTTTAAGATAGAATTAAAATATATTTGAAAAACAATCTAACATCCATAAGTGAGATCCATGATATAGCCTATATTAAATTACAATGTAAATACTAAAATTATAGCATCTATGATAACATTTAAAATGACAATAGTTTTAAATGAATTATAGTTACAAAGAATGCATAGCGGGAGATTTGCTCATCAAAATCTGATGGACATACTAGCTAAAACATCACCTATTAGCATGTACATCTGGGCATACACCAAATCTAGGTGACCAGGACCAATCAGAGGTGGTGTAAATTTCATTGGATGTCTCCATAAAAGGAGCAATGAAGAAACACGTGTTCTATAGTTTCCACTTCTCTGGAATTAAAGGGCGAGAGACTTATGCCCATAAGGGAGCATAATGGAGTAAGTCTTGACAGTCATAAAACAGGTCACTCACATGACTGACCTGATTTTACTACCTTTTTGAAGCAACTTCCATGGCCATTAAGGGGGCTAATTTTCCTGAAAACCAGAAGTAAATGCTGGTTTTTTTTAGAAAAACATTGTAACACAGGATGCTGCAAAAGCAGTAAATGTGTGCCCGAAATGCAGTCATGTGATCATGGAGGCTCCACTGGTCCTAACTTCTGTCATAACTTCAAACAGTTACTAAGCAACCAGTTGTAAGTCAAGGACTACCTTTATAAGTTGCCAGTAGTTCCTTTGCTAAAGGATTAGGTAAATTCAGGTTCTCTCATGGCTATCTGTGAAGTGTGTACAGAAGCTATAATTGATACAAAACGGTGCAGCTTTGTTTTCCCTTTTTAGTCTTGTAAACACATACTTATACTGAAGGGATGATACTGATATAGGGGTTTTCAGAACTGAAGTACCGTAAATGCTGGCATATAAGGCGACTTCCGCGAGCACTGAAATCGGCGCCAAAGACGGGGGTCGTCTTATACGCCGAGTCGTCTTATACGCCGGAAATACTGGTAGTTTCCGGCGTATAAGACGACGTTCTAGGAATGCGGCCAGGCGATAAAGACGGGGGTCGTCTTATACACCGGGTCGCCTTGTACGCCGGCATATACGGTATGTTTTTCTATTTTGAAATTTTAAAGAGCTTAGAATGATCTGATGGATGACCAATCTTGTTATGACCTAACCCAGAGTCAGTAACTATAGTAGTTTATATTCCGAAATACTTGGTTGCTTTTACTCTGAATTTATTCCTTTTCTGCATGCTTATTCAGAGGTAGAAAGCCATATATAGTTCTCAGTTGAAAAAAAAGAACAAAATAGTGACCTAAAATTTATTAGAAGTTATGTTGAATAAAGCTCATTTTATGGATTGAATTTTCCATTATGCTATCCAGGCAAACTGATTATGTCAATACTTTGGACTATCTAATTGTGAAAAATACATTTACTTCTAAAATTAATTTATTTGCCCAATTTTTCTACCAATACCAAACTTATTGCTCATTTGCCACATTATGCAGGAACTTTTGTCATCTCATGGCTGGACTGCTATGATTTGCTTTATCTGGGGCTGGCCTTGAAGATCAG